CGCAAATTTCATAGATGAACATGGCTGCGGTCGAGACAGACAGGGTCACCGTGAAGATCCCCAGGGGGAGCACGTAGGAGAAGTGCTTCATGTACAGCTCTTCTTTTTGAACCGGGAATGTGCTCCTAAATTGGAAGGTGGTTTGGCCATAAAAATCGACAATATGATTCCAGAACACCGCAGTCAGGGTGCAAAAGCTGCTCAGCAGAAGAAACAATACGGAAATGTTATAGTGCGACCTCAAGAAATCGGGATACGGGGCCTTAATCCAGCTCACTAAGATGGCCTCCGTGCTGAATATTAGGACTACCGATTTCATGAAGTTGGCTAGGAGGATGAGATCTCGTCCATACTGAATTTCGGGGGGGATGATCCAGCTTTCGTTGCTGCCGGTGTGCATGGTCACACCGATCAGAGACTCGGTGCCGTTCACCTTCTGGTAGTAATAAACTTTCCAGAGCCCGATGAAAACGATCTGGACCTCCTTAGCATCAAATTCCCAGATTCGCCAATGTCGACTAATTGCTAAGATAATGCCCAAGGCCCAAGTGATGTACGTACAAACCAGGGCAGCTAACTCCAACCTTCCTTGCTTCATTTCTGAGACCCAGAACGTGAATTTGAGGATTCTTGAAGCCACACCAGGAACGCCATAGGAGAAAGGGGTAGAGGAGAAAGCAAGCGTGTGTCATGATTTAAGAATGGAACACATACCTAGTGCTAACATGCCCGTCTCTAGCCCATCCTGTCTGAAAGCTCTATGGAAGCATTCTGTGTGCTTCTGACTTTCTACCTCGCTCAGGTCAGAGGACAGGAAGCCTTGAAATCCAAGACTGTGGCAGGAGTATGCATAGAGACGTGCTTGCTAGGCAGGTGCCGAACGCCCACAGCAGCACAGAAAATGGTTTTGTTGTTGCGACAAGATGTTTCAGAAGTTGAAATGTGCATACGTCTTGTCCAAGAACAGAAAGAAAGAAAGGAAGGAAGGCAGGATGGAAGGAAGGAAGGAAGGAAGGAAGGAAGGAAGGAAGGAAGGAAGGAAGGAAGGAAGGAAGGAAGGAAGGAAGGAAGGAGGAAGGAAGGAAGGAAGGAAGAAAGTACAGAAATATAGGAAGGACCTTTCGCCACATTTGCAATAGTCCATAGAAGTTCTTGTTTAAAATTACCTGTACATTTTCCGTACGTAGTCGCACATTTTCGAATCAGATGTTCATCGGTGTTGTTCAAGGAAGTATTTTTAGCAGGAAGGGAGAAATGGCTAATTGTCCTGAAAACAGACACAGAGATGAATCACCTGAAAGGAATATCGTTAGGCAGACCTTGGGGCCAGAAGAAAATCTCACAAATCCTGTCTTTCACCAAATATTCATTGAATTCTTATCATATGCTCTGTGTGAATCAAGCCCTACTGTGAGTCCTCCAGGAAAATTAATGTACCCAGTTGTCATGACGATGTATGACACAGGGATTATGAGCCCCAGGTCACAGAAGAGGAAAGAGCATACAGAGGATAAACGCCATACTCAGGTCAGTAAGTCACACAGAAACAAAGGGCAATGCAGGCCCCGGAGCATGGATGGCCCCGTGCTTTTGGCTCTCTCAGTATTTGTTGGCTTTATTCACATCAAGAGAGGCTCAACAAATAGGCAAGCCCAATGTCCATTATGATGTCACCTCTGTTCTATAGGAATGAAGGTGCTGCTAGGTGCTGGCTACTCAGCCCTGTCATCCCAGCCACTTAGGAGGTGGAGATCTGAGGATCATGGTTTGAAGCCAGCCCAGGCAAGAACAGCCATGAAGCTCTGATCTCCAATTAACTACCAAATGCTAGCCTGGAGCACAAAGCTATGGGACTGCACTCTAGCCCCTGGCTTCAAGTCCCAGTACTAGGACGGACACACACACACACACACACACACACACACACACACACAGAATGAAAGGGCTCAATGGCAGAAATAGAGTAAAAGTACTAGCCTTCCTGTGTCTTCATCTTACCTCAAGTAAGGAGCTTTCAAAGGATGATCCTTTTATCTATAAAGAAAAGACACAAATGTTAGAGGACAGGGAAGGAGTTAAAATGCTTTCACATTGCTAGTGGGAACAGAGAATGAGAGCAGGCCTGGGGAGAACTGGACAGTGATTCCGGAAACATGTAGAATTACTCTTCCATCCAGTAGCTCTACTTGAACCCCAAAGAAGTCAAAACAGGGTCTAGAACAGAGAGGTTCCTGGCATTTCTCAGCACCACCAAAGGATGTGGGAAGTCTGCCTGTGCAGAGATGGGTGAAAGGCTTCTAGAGACGGACTTCAACAGCTTGCTGGACTCGGCGCCATTGAAGCGGCCACTTCCAGGGGCTAAGCTGGTGGACCTGAGGCTCCTACATTTGACCAGGGTAAAACCCCATCACCCCTCCCTGCACAAGGCAGGCAGTTGACAAACGCAAAGCTGTGTTAGAGGTGGGAAAGGAAGGACACCCCCGGGCTGGGTCTCTGAGTCCCCAGGTCACCGCTGACTCTCCCCAGACACACGCGATCACGAGCGGTTTCCAGCCTAGGGAGGAAAGAAGGGAGGCGCCATCTCACCTGCTACAGGAAGCGGCCGCTCACTGCGAGTGACGCGCGGATGCAGCGATGTGGCTGTGGCGGAGGGGGGCGAGCCCGCTGGCGAGAGGCGGTCAGCTCACTGGCCAGAGGCCGTGACGTGGACCAGCCCCTCTCACACCTCCTCCATGGCGGCCCACCGCTGGCCTTCTGAAGCTGGCCCTGGCAGGCCGGGCTTTCAGTGCCACCCCTGCCCCACCCTCCACTGTGAGCTCACCACTGTGAGCCAGCCCTGGTTGCCCTGGCAATCAATAGCTGTGCTGCTTTTCTGGGCGGGTGTGCCCTCTGCCTGCCTTTGGGGCGTGGCTGCTCAGGCATGGCGACTCAGCCCTTGCTTCCCCATCCCTCTGACCATGTACACCTGTCTGCCACCTCTCCCCTCCCCTGCTGCCCTGCACCCCAAAGCCTTGCGGAGGTGGTGGAAGAGCGAGGCCAGCAGGGAGAGGGTGCGTGGAGGACAGAGGGTGTCAGCAGCAGGGTGCTGGGCGATGCTGGGCTGCCAGGTCTGTAGATGTGTTTTGGGGGGGGGGGGGTCCGGTCGAGGGGCCTGAACTCTGGGCCTGGGCGCTGTCCCTCAGCTCTTCAGCTCAAGGCTAGCGCTCTACCACTTGAGCCACAGCGCCATTTCCAGCTTTTCCTGCTTATGTGGTGCTGAGGAATCAAACTCAGGGCCTCATGCATGTATGGCAAGCGCTCTACCACTGAGCCACCTTCCCAGCCCTAGCTCTGTAGATCTTAACTGGGTGATCTTAACTAGACCAGCAAGTTACAAAGAGGTAAGATACACTCAAATGGTTTCCAAACACATAGAGAGGATTTTGTGGGGAGGGCAGGTTGTAACTAGACTGAGGTGGAATTGAAGGCTTTGCACTCGTGACATCTACCAAGGGGTTACATCCTTGCTCCGACATTCAGGTTAGCTTTAAAAGCTGTGATGGCGGTAAATCAAAGGCATGCTCTGTTAGTTCAAGACACACAATTTATTTTGCCAAGAGTCAAGCAGGATGATGTTTTCATAAGTGGTAAGTGTCAAGCATGACATTGTACACATTTGCCATGGTGGACCGCAGGGTGCAAGCCATAGATAACAGTCCTGACCAAAAGCAAGTTCACCGTGTGCTGCGTCTACAGCTGAGCTGCGACAGTGGCCAGGCACCACATCACTCACCCACCTACGAACACCAAAGGCCAGCCAGGAGCACCTGATGGTCTTCATATGCAATAATATAACTATATACACTTATGTACATGGACACACAGAAATCTTTGGGTCCCTGCCAGCCAGACAAGAGGCAAACGAGTGCACGGGAACAGAAGGATTATGCGTGCTTTGCTAAAAGCATCCTACAGCATTATATATTGCTATGCATAAGAGGAAATCCTAAGAAAGACACCCAAAGTCAGGAACAGACACACAAATTCCATTATTCACATTTTACACACAGATCATTGATTACAACACTGTGAGAGGAAAGAACCGTAGGTTAAAAAGCTGTCTAAATTAAAAACAAAATACTCTGAAAAATCCTTGTGCGGGAGGTGTGTGGACAGCCAGGCTTCTCCTTTTCTGACATCATCTGTGATCCATGTTCACAGCAAAGGAAAGCCAGGAGAGGAGAATGCTGAGAGGCAGAGTAGCAGTTGTTCAAGGTAGACATAGCTTCACTGAATAGGAGTGGATGCTTTTGGAAAAGCATTCATCCTATTGACATTGGTAGGCTGTTAAAAAAAGGGGGGGGTTGGTTATTGTCTGCATAATTGAAGCTTCTTGGCCATTTGGAAACAGCAAGGGACATGTACACATGTCAGCACACATAAGAATCTGCGTGAACGTGTGCTTTGGGATGGCTGTGTTCACTGCAGACAGTCTCTCCACCAGCTGGAACTTCTTTCATGGACTTAGGGAGGAAATGAGGATTCAAATAATCTCTGATAGAACAGAGCCTGTGACACTGCCAAACATCGAGTCACCTAAGGGACTTACCATTAACCATGCCTTTAATAAGATGAACACTTTGAAAAACTACAGCAGACCCACACTATTGGATAAAATAAGTTATAATGAAGCCATCAGCACTTGCACATTCTTTTCATGTGACTATTTGCTGTGTGTAAATCCCTTCAGTGAAGTGCCTTGCAAGTATTCTGCCCACTTTTGTGTGTGTGCTGATATTGGGGCTTGAACTCAAGGCCCAGGTGCTAAGTCCCTGAGTATTTTTGCTCAAGGCTAGGACTTTACCATGTGAGCCATAGCTTCACTTCTGGGTTTTTTTGTTTGTTTTTTGTTTTTGGTAGTTACTCGGAGACGAGAGTCTCACAAACTTTCCTGCCCAAGCTGGCTTTGAACCTCAATCCTCTGTTTTCAGTCTCCCGAGGAATTAAATTACAGGTGTGAGCTACCAGCATCTGGCTTTCTGCCCATTTCTTAATTGGGCTGGGTTTGGGATTTTTTCCCCCCTACTGTTCGGTTTTGAGAGTTCTTTATACAAATCCTTTTGTGGATTTTCTACTTGACAGTTGAAACTGACAATGCAGAAATATTGTTTGAATAAGACTCTCTTTAGAATCCTGCCATTTCAACCAGCAAAAAGGGTATATCATTTTTAAAGTCTATGGCAGAAAAAAGATGAAGTTCAGATCTGAGATGGTCCACAGGACCCCTGCCAAACCAAAGGAAAGGCTCAAAGTACATGGACTGTACCTCTCATGGTATCTTAACAGACTTGAAGGCAAAAACAGAAAAGCCAATTATCATTAATAAACACACATCCACACTCATTCACAGAAAACGAATATCCTAGGGGAAAAGTAACAAATATTCCATTGGTCTCAGGCAAGAAATAGCTAACAAGCACACTATTACTGGACACACTTTTAACCAAGTAATTTTACTTGGCTAGAAAAACACCATTTAAACTCTTATGAGGACTACAACTATTTGTTTTGTGTGTGTTGTAAAGCATGCGTGTGACTTCTTTCAATGGCAATTTTAATCTTAGAATGAGTGCACCCAACGTGTAGATTATTCATTGCACAGTTGGTTTTGAACCATCATGAAACCATTCCCACATGTTAATAAATTATCTTCATCATCACCCTCGTGGTTTTGCGGGGTCACAGAACATCATTACACGATACAGACAACAAATGCTCACTGTTGAACAAGCAAAGACAAAACACAGCCGCCTGGGCACAGGCGGGTCAAGGGAAGACGTGCACCAGGGGCTCCCCCCGGTCTCCCCTGTCGTGCACCGTAGGAACACAGGAGGATGTGCAGCCCTAATGTTGGACACGGACCACTGTGAGTGTACCCCTCAGGGCACAGCCCTGGGCTGCCAGCGGGGGTCTCGCCAGTCAGCACAGCCCCGGGTCCTGTGGTAGTTACGTAGGATGCTCAGTATTCCAAAGGAAACGAAAAACAATAAGTAATCCCAGACAAACACAGATGTTATTGCTTTTCTCCTAGCCACTTTGCTCAAGGAGAAACCTCTCTCCAGGAGATTCATGCGGGCTGGGGTCTTTGCTTGCACCTTGGCCCCCAGCCTCAAGGCTTTGTGCCTGCCCCCCCCCACGGGGCTGTCATTTGCCCCGCTCGGGTTGCAGGCTGTCGAACAAGCATTTCAGCTGTTCTTCACCCAGGTGGATTTTGTCTTCTAGCTCCCGCTGCTCAATGATAAGGGCTGACTTCATCTTCACGAAGTGCTCATAGTCGGCCAGACTCTCCTCGCTCAGGTAGGTGGCCAGGATGTCAAACACGATGCGCTCCCGTCGGTCCAGATTCTCTTTGAGCTCCTTGGCATCCTCGTGCTGCTGGGTAAGGACGCGCTGCTTCTCAAGCAGCGACTGCTGTGGAAGGAGAAACAGAGAAATGAGCCTGTGCAAAGGCCAGGAAGAGCGGGGCACTGGTGGCTCACGCCTGTCATCCGAGCTGCTCAGGAGGCTGAGATCTGAGCATCGCAGTTCATAGCCAGCCGGGGCAGGAAAGTCTGTGAGGCTCTTATTACCAATGAACCACCAGAAAGCCAGAAAAGGCCAGAAGTAGCTCCAGTGGTAGAGCTCCAGCCTTGAACAAAAAAAAGCTAATGGACAGCACTCAGGCACTGAATTCAAGCCCCAGTTCGCTCTCTCTCATTTCATTCTCTCCTCCCTCCCTTTCTCTCTCTCTCTCTCTCTCTCTCTCTCTCACACACACACACACACACACACGCACATGCACATGCACATGCACATACACTACATACACACACAGAGGCCAGGACTAAAGCAGGGCCAAGCCTTTGAAAATGCAGCAACTTTTAGGGCTGTGCTGTCTACTAGGCGGTCAATGAAAACTCTGAAGCTGCCTGAGATCCCATGGTGCTCCCAGCACCCCCCAAAACAGCCTTCCCATAGGAATGCCCCCAACCCTCGTTTCCTGGTCACATGCATCTGCAGATACCCGATCTCCAGGAGATGGACTGTCATCCAAATTATTGAGAGCGTTTTCCACTCGGGCCAGGCGGCCTGAGAGTGACAGCAGGAGGTTCACCACTTTGTCCAGGTCCCCGATGAACATCCGGAACTTGTCAAACTCATTGGGTTTGCAGACATCTTTCACGATGGCCTCCACTTCATCCCCCAGTGCATTGTTGGCCTGGATGTCCTCCAGCAGACTCTCCCGGGCTTCCCGGAGCACCTGCAGCTTCCGGCTGATGCTGTCGATGAGTTCCTGCTAGAGAGGCACAGGGAAGCACGGAGATGCTCGTGAGAATGGCCGCAGACCCGGGGCTCTGCGTTACTCGGCCACAGCACAGACGGACCGAGTAAAAGTCACTTTGTGCATCATTAAGGAATGAAGTATTTGTAGGCAAACGAGCTGCATTTAATTCATTTTATTAACTAAATTATATATATATATATATATATAAATATACAAAAACATTGAAACATGGCTGGGAGGAGGAGTGGAGCTCAGGAGTAGAGAGTTCTCAGGCTTGACACTCTAACTTCCATTAGTAACAACACACACACACACACACACACACACACACACACAAGTTTGAATTCTGTTAACATCCTATTAAACATACAAGAGAGCTGCTCTAGTGCTACTCACAGTAGATGTTATTTCCACCAATGGCTTTGCAAAGATTTATAGGGCCTATGTGATGCTTTGTGCTCAGTTGTAATCCTAGCTACCCAAGAGGCTGAGATGTGAAAAATTAAGGCTCGAAGTCAGTCTAGGCAGGAAAGTTTCATGAGACACTCTTCTCCAGCTAAGAACCCAAAACCAGAAGTTGAAGTGTTATTTAAGTGGTAGAGCACCAGCTATGCAAAGTCCAAGCTATACACACACACACACACACACACACACACACACACAGAAAACAAGAAAACAACCTCCACCTCAGCTGTACTACCCTGAAACTGAGTACTCTGGAAGGAATCTATTTTTTTAAAATTCCTTTACATGTCTTATAAACATTTTTATCAAAAATACATGTCTCCTGTCTTTTGAAGGGCCACTAGAGAGATACAGACATTAGCTTTCAAAGCTTTTGAGACAAAGGGCTGGGATGCAACTTAGTGGTAGAGCACTTGCCTAGCAGCAACTAGACTCTGAGTTCAAAGTAAAAAAAAAAAGAAAACCAAAAAATTCTTCATAGTGGGCAAGTCTATAATCTTAGTACTTGGGAGGCTGAAGCACGAAGATTGTGCACTTGAGGCCAGAGTGGGCTACATAGCAAGACCTGTTTCTAAATCAAACAAAAAAAGCTGAGTGCTGGTGGGTCAGGCCTGTAATCCTAGATACTCAGCAGGCTGAGAGCTGAGGACTGAGCTTTGAAGCCAGTCTGCAAAAATATACCTGAGAGATTCGTATCTCCAATTAACTAGAGAAAAGCTAGAAGTAAAGGCATGACTCCAAAGCATTAAGAAAAAGCTAAAAGCAAGAGTGCAAGTCCCTGATTTCAAGCCCCAGTGTAGGCTCCAAAACACACACACACAATGAACCGCAAAGGGCTTACTCATTTGACCTCACATTTCCTTATCCTGCATGTGCTTAACATGCCTTCGGACATGTGATCAGGGTCTCTGCTCAGTGCCTCTCCTTTGCCCAGTACCCTCAGTGTGAATGTCTTTTTGGTTGGTTTGGTTTGGTTTTTGGTGCCAAATTGGGGATTGAACTTTGAGCCCGGGTGCTGTCCCTTAGCGGTGTGGCTCAAGGCTGGAGCTCTACCACTTGAGCCACAGCTCCACTTCTGGCTTTTTTTCTGGTTAACTAGAGATGAGTCCCATGGGCTTTCCTGCACAGGCTGACTTCGATCTACAATCTTCAGATCTCAGAATCCGAATGGGTCGGATATTAAGCATGAACACTGGTGCCTGTGTGAATGTCTTTTTGAACAGAAGCTCGCTATGCTGCCCGGTTGGTCCTGACCTCCTGATCCTCCTGCCTCAGCCTCCAGAGTAGCTAGGAGTTTGACTACTGCACCTGGCTCTACTTCCCTACCTTCTTCACTGACAGATCATGATCCAAGTCGCTCCCCACATAGTCCTCGGGTTCTTGCTGCCCTTGCAGGTCCTTCATCTTGATCAGCAGCTCGGCCTTGGGGGCTGATGTACTGTAGTATGGAGAATTGGTGGCCAGAGACACGACCACAGGCACATTTGGCTCCTCCTTCCTGGGTAAAGAGATTAGAGTCTCAGTCAGCGGCAGCTAGAGTCACAAAAACTCATCCCCCCCCCAACCCCCCCCCTGCCCTTTGGACCCATTCCATGACAAATAAGCCAGCACTAGCAAAAGGGCACCAACCAGAGAGAGGAGCCAGCTAGAGGGGCAAACCAAACCAAACCAGAACAAAGAACAACCTCCCACAAAAAGAGAGAGAGAAGCAAAACTTTAGCCAGGTGCCAGTGGCTCACACCTGGAATCCTAGCTACTCAGAAGGCTGAAATCTGAGGACTCTGGTTCTAAGCCAGCCCAGGTAGGAAAGTCCATGACACTCTTATCTCCAATTAACTAGCAAACAGCTGAAGTGGAGTTGGCTCAGCCTTGAACCAATAAGCCAAGGCAGAGCATTCAGGCCCTAAGTTCAAGCCCTAGTACTGGCACCCCCCCCCTAATTCCTACTCATTAAGGATGGCATACACTCAAATCTAATCCTTCACCTCTGTTAGGCATCTCCTGTCAGTACTACTAACATCCAATTCTTTGTGTGGTGAGGCCGTCCTGTTACAGAAATTGAGAAGCATCTTGGGATTCTACCTAATCAATATCCACTCTTCAGATGTTTCCACATGGCTCCTGTGAGTGGCATTGCACTTTCCCATCCTACCAGGAATAACTGTCATTGGAAAGACTCGTAGACAGTAACTACATGGAGTATCCTAAGGTTTGGAAGTCTAGTGGTGGGAAACTTCTGATTGATTGATAGATGCGGTCCTAGAGAAGGAACCCAGGGCCTTGGGCATGCTAATAAGCCTTCCACTGATATGCTACGTCTTTGGCCTGAAACTAACCAAGAACCTCTCATGAATCCAAGAGCTTCTCAATATCCTATCTGGAGCCTAGATGAAGAGCGGGGTACATCGGGCCTACAAAGGCCTGAGCAATCATTGGACTGGAGCTTGCCAAGGCAACTGTAGGCAGGATGCAAAATTTTAAAAAAATTGTTTTATAAAAGCTAGGAGTAGCCGGGCGCCGGTGGCTCCCGCCTGTCATCCTAGCTACTCAGGAGGCTGAGAGCTGAGGATTGCGGTTCAAAGCCAGCCCAGGCAGGAAAGTGCGTCAGACTCCTATCTTCAGTAAACCACTAGAAAACTGGAAGTAGCGCTGTGGCTCAAGCGCTAGAGCGCTTGCCTTGAGCTGAAGAGCTGAGGGACAGCGCCCAGGCCCAGAGTTCAAGCCCCACGACCGACAACAACAACAACAAAAAGCTAGGAGCTGGGAACCCAGTAGCTAGGAGGACGGGTGTGAGCCAACCACCGGGAGGCTGAGATCTGACGACGTGGCCGAGGCCAGCCCACGCAGCACAGTCCGTGAGACTCTGGTCTCCAGTGAACCACCAGAACAGAAGCCTGAAGTAAAGCTATGGCTCAAGTGGTTTGAGTGCTAGCCTTGAGAGAAAAAAAGAAAAAAGCTCAGGGACAGTGCCTAAGTCCTGAGTTCAACCCCCAGGACTGGTACCCTAAGAAAAAGATCTAGAAACTATTTCCATAGCAACATAAACCTTAATACCACCTACCCAACACCACAGACCAAACAGCCCTTGGCAGGAAGAAGTTTCCCACCCCTGGCAGGACTTGTGATACGCCTCCCAAACAGGTGACACACAAGACAGGCAGACAGAAGACAGACAGTCAGGACCCCATACGAAGAGAGGATTTCTTAACTCCAGCACTGAAGACAGGCCGTGTTCAGTGGTTCCTTATGCACAGAAGTCCTGTGCCCCAGATGTCTTGTTTATTTTTAAACCAGTACTGGGGCTTGAACTCAGGACCTCTGGACTGTCCCTCAGCTTTTCTGCTCAAGGCTAGTTCTTGCGTCACAGTTCTGCTTCTGCTTTTTGGTGGTTCATTGGGGATAAGAGCCTCAGCCTTTCCTGCCCAGGCTGGCTCTGAACTGTGTGAGCCTCAGAGTAGCTAGGCTTACAGTCATGAGCCACTGACCGTTGGCTTGTACAAGGTTTGTGGGGCAGTATCCCTGACATCTTTCCACTAAATGTCAGGAGCAGCTCTCCAGTGAGGCAGTGAAAACTATCATCTGCTACTGCCAGCTATCCCGTGCGGGGGCTCGGGGGGAGATGGCCCCAGGGGAAAGGAGATGGCAGTCATAAATCATAACCACGCCAGCCGCAAGCCCAGGAGCTTAGCTTCCACAGGGCGAATCACACCGAGGGACAGTATCTTGAACCCTTACTCTCTCTGTGGGGACACTTCCAGAAAAATGCTAAGCATCAGACACCCCTATAATATCGGTCTTCCAAAGAAAGCACTCATGCTCTCCTCCCTCTCTAGGCCTAAGTGATGTTGAGCGGGACCCAGGCTCCCCCTGGAATTCGGCCTCTACTCACTTGTCCTCTGTGGTTCTGGGTGAAGGGATTTTAGGGAGCAGCTTCCTCCGCTGCTGAGCTTCCTCCAGGAGATGTTCATCTTTGGGGAAGATTCCTTCCATCAGGTCCATGGTGGTTCTGATCTTCACACTGGGGTCCAGGATGTCAGCCAGGGACTTATCCTTTCCCACAATCTCCCTGGCCAGCTCCTCTGACTTCAGATCTTCCATCGTCTTCTCCTTGGCCTTCACGTAGCTGAACGCAGGAGAGGAGGTACTACTATCCTTCAAGGAAGATGTGGGAGCGCTTGGGGACTGTGGCTCAGGGGGCTGGGCTTTGGTTGGGGTCTCGGTGTCTGCGCTGTGCCGGGTGTACACACAGAAACGGGAGTAGCATTCCTCTGATGTGCTCAGTGTCTTGATCTGGTCTCTCTCCAGCCCACTGGGCAGGGAGGGCAGCTCAGCTGGGCGTGCCAGGCTTTGGCGGCTCTCCTTCTCTGGCTGGCTCTCTGAATGTACAATCTTGATGGGTACCATCTTCACAGTGGTGTTATGGATCACCCGCTCAATTCTGCAAAGAGAAGGGCCGTTCTCTGACATCATGAAAGGCTCAAATTCTAACCCAGGACTCAGCACGCTGCCACTTCCCGGCCCCCAAAGGGAAACAGATTCAAAGCAACTGGTCCCTCACCCAGCTGGCTGAAGCCCCCAGGATTGTGTCTCTTGGGAAAGGAGGATGGTTCGAGGGAGTTGGAAGTAGTTTGGTCCAAATCAAAGTAACAGCCTCAAGGTATCTACGCGCCCCGGGGTGACTCCCTGCTGTTTAATGTTCTTCTTGGCTGGGGTGGGGGGTGGGGGAGGTGAGGGGGTGGGGGGCAGTACTAGAGCTTGAACTCAGGGCCTGGGCACTGTCCCCTAGTTTTTTTTGCTCAAGGCTCATGCTCTATTACTAGAGCCACAGTTTTATTTCCAACTTTTTAGTGGTTAACTGGAAATAAGAATCTCACAGGCTTCCTGCCCAGGCTGGTTTTGATCCTCACATCTCAGCCTCCTGAGTAGCTAGGATTACAGGCTTTAGCCACCAGAACCTAGCCTAATTCTGAACTTTGATTCTCCCACTTTCTGCCTCCTAACTTGCTAGATTTACAGGTGTGAGCCACTGAGCCCAGCCCTACTGAGCATTTATTATTTTAACAATTCAGGGAAAAAGGAGCACGAAATATTGGACTTGATGTAAAACATGAACTTATCTAATGATCTCTTATTTAGGTTATCTGAACTGTGATCCTAAATACGAAATGCACAGGAAAAACACGCCTAGAGTGCAGGTGCCTGAAGTCCACACAGATACAAAGGCAATTGGCTCAGGGATTCAGGGCGTTCATTCCTGCAGGCACGAGCAGTCTCCTGGTGAATGAGTTAAAAAAAATTAACTAGAGGGGCTGGGAAGGTGGCTCAGTGGTAGAGCGCTTGCCTTGCATGCATGAGGCCCTGGGTTCGATTCCTCAGTGCCACGTAAGCAGAAAAAACTGGAAGTGGCATTGTGGCTCAAGTGGTAGAGCGCTAGCCTTGAGCTGAAGAGCTGAGGGACAGCGCCCAGGCCCAGAGTTCAGGCCCCATGACCGACCAAAAAAAAAAAAAAATCACTAGAGTCAAGGCTTTTCCTCCAGCAAATTTCCCAGGGCCAAATTTCAATGCAGTGTGTCAAACTGAAGCAAGGTACTGGTTGCTGAGGGTTCACCTACAGAAGAGGCTGGGAAACAGGAGGGACACGTGACACGGGGTCACAGGCAATACCTTGTTGAGTTATCATCCTGGATAAGCAAGGGCGGCTTGTCCGTCAGCTTCTGCGGGGCGAACTGAGGGGAGGGGGAGCGGGAGGTCTCCATGGTGGATGGCTGCGGAGGCTGGAACTTGGAGGCCGGCAGCACTTCTGACTGGGGGCAGCCGGTGTCCGCATTCACATGCTGGCTGTCTTGGGGACGGGGAATGCTGAACACAGAGGGACTGTGGGAAAGGGGCGCAGGAGGCGGCGTGGGGCAGGGCTTGCCAGGGGCGGCCAGGGGCGTGTCTGCAGGTGCACTGTCTGGGCCCTTGTATTTCCTGAGCTCGCGCTTGGGTGGTGGAGGCCTCTGTGGGGCTGGCTTCTTGGCGGGGAGTGGAGCTGTGCTCAGCGGCCACAAGTCTGGTCCCTGACCACGTGGGGGTGAAAGGGTGCCCTTGGCTGGTCTCAGGTCTGCTGGCGTGTTCTCCTCCGAATACCTATAATCTCTAGGTAAAGTTCCTGACCGGCTCCGGCCCTCTTGGGGCAGTGCTGGGCCTTCCCAAGTACGAGATGGTTCAGATGATTTGGACAGGGTCTGTGGGCTCTGATCCCGTGAGCCCTGTGATGTTCCTGGACTCACTTCCACACACTGGGCATCTGCTTGTCTACGAGAAGAATAAAGAGAAATGAATCCTGGATTCTAATTAACCCATTCTCTCTGCATGCAAGTAGACTCCTATGAAAAACCCCTCAGACCACTTTAGAGTTAAATCCATACTCTATGTGTGTGCATGTGCACGTGTGTGCATGTGTACTTTTGTTAGGGCTTGAACTTGGTGGGGCGCTGAGCTTTAGCTTTCTGCTCAAGGCTGTCATTCTACCACTCATGCCACACCTCCAATTTTGGTTGTTTTGGTGATTAATTAGAGATTTGAGGCTCTCAGACTTTTCTTCTTGGGTTGGCTTTGAACATTGATCCTCTGATCTCAGCTTCCTAAGGAGCTAATGTTATAGATGTGAGCCTCCAGTGCCTGGCTATGTCCATGCGTTTCCCATGCCAGTCTCCACTGCCATGCCCGACGCACAGCAACAGTACTGGACACATGCCACACCACAGGAAGGAAGCTGGGTGCTAAAGTGCTAAATATGCACTTTATGTTAAAGACATGCACACTTTGCTGGGTACAGGTGACTCACACCTGTAACCCTAGCAACTCACAACGCTGAGAACTGAGGATCATTGTTCAAAGCCAGCTGGGCTAGGCAAATCTGTGACTCTTATGTCCAATTGACCCGCAAAAAAACCCAGAAGTGGACGTGTGGCTAAAGGGGCAGAGTGCCAGCCTCGAGTGAAAAAGTTAAGGGGCAGCGCCCAGGCCCTGAGTTCAGGCCCCAGTACCGGCCCCTACACATGCACACATAAGCTGGGTATAGACACGTGTATACAGCAACTATAGCCCTTTTTATGGTTATTTCTTAAGTAATTTATTACCTCTTACATAGTTTGCGAGCACCGCCACTCCTTCCATCATTCTTTCAATCAAAACATTACAAAAATAGTGACAGTCATATTTTCGTAAAATTCTCATCGTTAAATTCCCAACTATTTACTCCAAGTTGCAATACTTTTCGGTGGCTTATGAGAAAGGCAGACCTTTCTAAGATGGGCTGCCAACCATTTTGCCAAGAAAATCCTTAAAAGCAGTGGTACATTAGAGTAAGTGGGACAAAATGAGAAGAGTTGCTCGATCCCCAGTACCGAAAAAGAAAAAGGAAAACAAAAAAGGAAAGAAAGAGCTACTTCTTTTGGAAATACTGTGACTTACAGATTTTCCCAATTCTGTTTTGATATGCGAGACATACATAAACATACTTGAAACATGCACCTACAGGCAGATCTGACATGCATGATTATTGTCATCACTAAAGTGTGTGGGTTGAAAACTCCCAAACTTGCAGTCTGCTAACATTTACCTTTTGTGTGGCGAAGCCAACACAAAAGAGTCCAAAAGGAGTCACTGCTTTAATGACCTCTGAGGCTGGGCGCCGGTGGCTCTTGCCTATAAGACCAGCTACTCAGGAGGCTGAGATCTGAGACTCGTGGTTGGAAGCCAGCCAGGGCAGAAGAGACCCCATGAGACTCTTATCTCCAATTAAGTGCTCAAAAACTGGAAGTAAGCTGGGGCTCAAAGTGGTAGCGCGCTAGCCTTGAGTAAAAGAGCTCAGGGACAGTGCCGAGGCCCTGAGTTCAAGCCCCACAACCGACCAAAAAAAAAGACCTCTGAGAACTTGGGGGTATAGCTTAGTGTTAATAGCACTTGTCTAGCACACACAGCTCTGGGTTAGATCCCCAGCACACTAAAACAAACCTGAGTTGTTTCACTAGACCCAAACAATGGCAAAAAGCAGAGAGCCAGTAAACAAGTAACAGTGCCAGTAAGACATAACCCAGTGATCACCGAGGAGAACACAGACCCCAATGCCTGCTCATTAGAGTTTCACTTCAGAGCCAACCTTGAAGGCTCCATCCCTGAACTCTGTCTCGGGAGCCTTCTGGGTACAGTTTATGGAGCCTAGACCTACAGATAGAGGCCCAGACCCACCTCTTTCAGGAAGAATATTAGTCCAGAAACGTGTTAACTCACTCATCTCTGCTAAGCTTTTCTCTCTGCAACAGCCACGGACTGTCACAATTCTAATGCCGCAAGGGAAATGCAATTACTTTAGAAAAATCAGATAAATTTTATTTCTTCAATGTCTTCATAGACAGATTAAAGAGGTCTGCAGCTTCCTTGTTTGTTTGTTTTTTTCTGCTTGCAGGGACTTGGATGGCAAACAGTAATGGAATTGAATGACATAGACTGATAAGTCATTCGTGGTTAAAGAGGAGTGTGGGGTGAGAACAGTAAAAGAAAAATTCTACTGCAGATGATCCAAAGCCAAATGATCAGGCACTAACTGACTTCTTGATGACTTGATACCCAGAATTTTTTTAAAGCCTCCATTTGAAGATCTGCGACAGCTGCTCAAGTGCCCCTCTGCCACTGTGCTTTTAGGAGACACATGCCGTCACTCTGCTTGAAGGCCCCTGTCATTTCTATGGCTGGAGAACACCATTCTTGGTCCCAAGATCTAACCAATGGGAGATGGGCTCTGCTCAAACTGAATTCGAAGGCAGGGCCTGCGCAGAGGCAGGAAGAATGAATCCTTACCTTAGGAAAGTCTTTCAGGCAATATGGAACATTGGAAATCTCTGCTTTCCAAAACCTCTCCTTCCAAATTCCTTCTCTCCCACTTTTCTACCCAATATATCTTAAGCTTGGAAGGCATCTCGCTGAAGTCTTTATGTTTGGTTTGGTACATCCTTCCCAAAGCCAATATCATCAGCTACACAAATGATGAACTCGGCACGCCCTGTGCCCGTCCTAAGGGGGCCTTCTCTATATTGCAATAGCCCGGGCCTGGCCATCTCTTCTAACACGCTACTTCAGAAGGCATAGCATGTGAAGCTCCACTCAGATTCATGTGCACATGGGCCACCAGTCACAGAACATCTAAACGGAGACCAGGAAAGTTACAAAACTCATCAGATCTCCTACCTCCATCAAGCCAATTAAGCCTCTCCTGTCCCTTCTCTGCTAGTATTGATCTTTCTGTCCTTCATACTGCTTACCAAATGAGTAATTATACACACTTGTGATTTTTAAAATTAGTATCTGTCTTGGCTTCTAAACCAGGGGTGGGGCAAGGACAAGCTAGAGATGGGGGTGGGGGGGTCCACTGCTGCTCTCTCTTGGATTTGTCAATCAAGGCTGGCTCTCTACCATTTGAGCCACTGCTCCACTTTCAGCGTTTTGCTGGTTCATTGGAGATAAAGAGTGTCACAAGACATTTCTACCCAGGCTGACTTCAAACCATGATCCTCAGATCTCAGTCTGAGTAGCTAGGATTATAGGTGTGAGCCACCAGCGCCTGGCAGAACTCCCATATATTCTTAATAAAAAGGCTTCAATTAGTAAACAGACAGTTTTTTTTTGGGGGGGGGGTCTGGTCATGGGGCCTGAACTCTGGATCTGGGCACTGTCCCTCAGCTCTTCAGCTCAAGGCTAGCACTCTACCACTTGAGCCACAGCGCCACTTCCGGCTTTTTTTCTTTTTTGCTTATGTGGTGCTGAGGAATTGAACCCAGGGCCTCAGGCATGCAAGGCAAGTGCTCTACCACTGAACCACCTTCCCAGCCCCAAACAGACAGTTTTTTAACCAAAGGAACTATTATTAGAAACTGCAACAACTCAGGCAGCTGCGTCTATAGATCAGGATGACCTTGACTCCCAAAAACATATATTGAGCAGGGAGAGCCAGTGGCTAAACCTGTAATCATAACTACTCAGAAGGCTAAGATCTGAGGATCCACATCTGATGTCAGCTCAGGAAGGAACGTTCATGAGACTCTTCAGCTCCAATTAACTACCAAAAAGCTGGAAGTGTAGATGTGGCTTAAGCACTAGAATACTCAAGCAAAAAAGCTAAGTTGACAATGCCTAGGCCCTGAGTTCAAGGCCAGTACTGGCACAAAAGCTGTCAGAAATCACACATTAAGCTATGAAAGATCAATTTTTAAATTTGGGGCAGACAAAATTGGGTAACAATTGGCTGTATGCTGATGGTTCACACTTGTAATCCTAGCTATTCAGGAGAATGAGATCTGAGGATCATGGCTTAAAGCCAGCCTGTGCAGAAAAGTCTGAAAGACTCTAACCTTAATTAAACAGCAAAATTCCACTGGGAGGCATGACTAAAGTGGTAGAGGCCCCAGCTGTAAGTAAAAAAAGCTGAGAGGACAAGACCCTGAATTCAAGCTCTAGTACCAACACACACACACACACACACACACACACACGAAAAATATACAGAAAGTCTGGGTAGAATAGTATATTATCTTCCTAAATCAAGAGAAAAACATTTATTTCAAGTGTCTTCTTTTTACCACAAGTGCACAAAGCCTAAAATTCTGAAAATCTCCCATCTTAAATAATTGCCTAATCATTTTTTTCAGCTGGGCCATATTAGGAAATGGACTATTTACTCAAGTATTTGTTGTATCAAAATCTACTTTCTATGTGGAGTTACTCTAGAAAGTGATTACAGCAGTATATACATGTGTGCCATTTACATACATACACACATTATCTATTTTCCTAGAATTTCTAGAAGGAGTGTGTGTGTGTGTGTGTGTGTGTGT